AAAACATGAGGGGATTGAGGGCCCTGCTCTTTCGAGCTTACAATCTAGGAGCAATCACCTGTAGAATGTCCACTGAGCTGTGCATACGCAGCTGATTTTTACATTCTGCCACAGTGCCTGTGTGTCAGGATGACTGCACTCTTATGCATGTACAGGAGTGACATTCTGTGTTGGACATTTAAGATGGCCGAAGACCGGCAACCAAAAGAAGCTGGAACAAAAAAAAAAAAAAAAAAAAAAATGGTACCACCAGCAAGGGACCTTGCAGGTGTCGGACCGTTGGAACCAAGGTGTCTTGCATTTAGTTCCACTTTTGACAGCTCATAATCTCTGCTTCACTGTATGTTTCTGCAATCGTATTTGAATGTGTTTTCAGTCTGTTTGTAGTGCAGTTACATGTATTTGCAGTGTGTTTTTTGGAATATTTTCTCATTTTAATTTCTGTTCTTTACTATGTTCATTTACAGGTTTGTGGTGCATTTGCACACATTCATGTGCATTTGTATGAGTTTACATGCACTTGCAAAGCGGAAAAATGCCAGCATGCTTTACTTATTTTAGGACTCATGTGCATTGGATGTTTTTAACGTGGCTGTTAGGGGCATCTGGCAGTTTTTTATTTTCTGTCTCTAGACGCCCCCTACATGTTAGCCTATGTGTCCATGCACACCACATAGGTGTTTAGAGTTGGGATGCACCGAAATTTCGGTGGCCGAAACGTTTTGGCCAAAAACACCCCTTTCGGCCGATATGAAAAAAAGCACCAATACAGGTGCCGAAAAACCCTGTCCCTCGCCGTCACCTGTCCGCCGCTTGGTAGTTCTCAGCCTTACCTGAGAAAAGATCGAATGATCCCAGCGCTGGGCACTGAGATTAGTGAAGGAAAGATGGCCTCCACTCATTTTTATGCCCTTGGAGGACCGGCACGCTGTCACTTCCGGTTCCAGACTTTTTTTTTTTTTTTTTTTTTTTTTAAAGCAGCAGATCAATGCTTTTTTTGATCTAATGCTTTACACTGAATCTACTTCCGGGGACATTCTTTTATTTTCCTTCTTTTAATAAAGGGACTTGTCAAAGAGACTGTCTCCTGTCTTTTTTCACGCTACAGGTTTTTTTTGTGAATGGGTAGCGGTACCATGTACTCCATACTCATTTGCATGGGGGGGAGGCGGGATCTGGGGGCCCCCTTGCTAAAGGGGGGCTTCCAGATTCCGATAAGCCCCCCTGCCCGCAGACCCTCACAACCACAGCCCAGGGTTGTGGGGAAGAGGCCCTTGTCCCCATCAACATGGGGACAAGGTGCTTCGGGGGGGGGGGTAGGGAGGGCCGTATGGTTCAGGAGGGGGTGTGGCGCTTGCTTCTCCACCCCCCCCCCCCTTTCCTGACCTGCCAGGCTGCATGCTCAGATAAGGGTCTGGTATGGATTGTGGGGGGACCCTACGCCATTTTTTTTTTAGCGTGGGGGGGGTCCCCTCAAAATCCACACCAGACACGAAGACTTGGTATGGATGGAGGGGGGGACCCCATGCCGTTTTTTATTTTTTAATTGCTGGCAATTCTCTTTTACAGTCAGCTGTCAATGGGGGACCCCGCTGACTGCTGAAACATTAGCGCATGGTTTTCACGACTAAAATACCGCATGACTTGATAAAAATAACTCATATTGAATTTTAGTAGCATTTTTTAGTGAATTCAAACATGAAAATCTGATGTTCTGCTTGAAAAACACCTCAAAAATGCTAGTCATTTTTCAATTTTTCATTACTTACATTGATCAACACTTTTCATCCATCAAACTAAAAATGGAATACTCAAACACCCATGTCAACTTCCTAGACACCACAGTATACATCAGGGATGATACGCTTCACACCTCAATATACAGGAAACCCACTGACAGATGCAACTACCTCCACAGTTCCAGCTTCTACCCCCAACACATGAAACGTGCCATCATACACAGTCAGGCCATTAGATACCACCGAATATGTTCTGACCCAAGAGACAGAGATACACATCTCGGGACACTAGCAGACTCCTTCCATAAGAAAGGATACAAGGACAAAACTGTCAACAACAGCATAAACACAGCCTTGAGAACCCGAAGGGAAAATCAACTTCAGTACAAAGAGAAAAAAAACAAACAACCGTGTACCTCTAGTAACTACATACAACCCAGCACTAGAAGGAATAAGATAAATAATCAAAGATTTACAACCCATCATAACAGAGGATGGAACTCTGAAAGAAATATTCCAGCAACCCCCAATACTGGCCTTCAGACAACCCCCCAACCTCAGAAATAAACTAATCAGTAGGAAACTTCCTTCTGATTATGATGTCACAAATAATGGAAGCAAACCCTGCAATAAAATACGCTGCAAACTGTGCAACCAAATCAATCAAAAAGTGTCAGACACTCAAAAGGGATCTTCATTATCTCCGGATCATACAGCTGCACCTCCAGTAATGTTGTGTACCTTATCCAGTGCAGAAAATGTAACAAAGGATCCTATGTTGGCGAAACAGGACAGAAGTTGCAAACAAGGATGAATACACAGACATATCATCAAGGAATATAAAGAAGATGACTTTTGCACACCTGTGGGACACCATATCGCACAACCAGACCACAGTTTGGGAGACCTCAATATTTTAGTTCTTAAAGGAAATTTCAAATCCATTCACGAAAGAAAAACTTTTGAACTAAGAATGATAATTCTATTTGACACAAGAGATAACGGCCTTAATTTGGACATGGGATTCCTCACTCATTATCCAACAGTTTTATGACTCTCACCTCAAGCATCACTGCCTCTGTGAGTGTTGTCTCCCCCCTTGCCTAGACTTTGCTTATGCTGTGTCTTATCTTAACTCTGTTCTTTTTTTTTATTCCAACTCCAAAACATCTCTTCTAACCCTTTGTGATCAGTACTGCTTTGACCTGAAGAAGGGGACACTCCCCGAAAGCTTGTCCTCAAAATTGTTTGTTAGTGCAAATAAAAAAAGTATCACAGACAGTACTCAATTGTTTCAGTCATTTTTCAAGTGTTTTTGAGGCGAACCAATGTGAAAGCAGCCTAAGGGTTTTTCTGCTGGATGCCTGTTGCTCTACGCTCAAAAATGTACAAGGCTTTTTTCCACAGGCATTTTTTATCCCATAGCAGCACCGGTATACACGCAATATGCATGTTTTAACCACTTGCCATATATTTACTGTGAGCGGAATGCACTTGCAGGCACAATCAAGTATAGGTACATAATCAGCCTTCCTCCAGGTTTGGGGCATGAGCAATAATTTTAGCTTATGTCAGCTGATCAGCTGTGCCCAATCACACACAGTTCTGAATTTACAAAACACAGAAATCTGTGTACAGGAAACAGTGACATAGTAAAGTAAAACCAGCACACATTACACACTGTTAAGCAAACAACCCCTTGATTGCCACTAGATGTTAACCCCTTCCCAGCCAGTGTCATTAGTACAGTGACAGGGGTTAGCACTGATCACTGTATTAGTGTCACTAATGATGTGTTAACTCCCAGCCCGTCAGATTGCCCCCTACACTATCAGAGACCAGCCATAAGTAAATGATCACCACCATTTCCCGTATAACCTCACTGCTGCATGAATTCCAGTATATATACCATAGTTTGTACAAAGCTATAACTTTTGCACAAATCAATTAATATACACTTATTGGGATTTACTTTACCACAGATGTAGCAGAATACATTTTGGCCCAAGTATATAAAAAAATTAGATTTTTTTATTGGTTATGTTTTATAACAAAAAGTAGAAAAAATTGTTTCTTTCCCATAATTTTTATATATAAAAAAAAAAAAAGTGTTGATCAAATACCGCCAAAAGAAAGCTCTATTGGTTTTAAAAACAAAATTATCTAAAAAAAAAAAAAAAAAAAATTAATTTACGTAGTGTTGCATGACTGAGCAATTGCCAGTTAAAGTAGCGCAATGCTGAATAGCCAATGCTCTGGTCAAGGGGGGGGGGGGGGTAAAACCTTTCGGAGGTCAAGCGTTTAAATGTGAAGAATGTCTCTCCTCCTACAGAGCTGCTTTCCTCTTTGCCCAGTCCAGGAAACAAACTCATGAGGCCCAATACCCATACAAAAACATTTGTAATACCCTTATGGGCTCATTCAGACAGGTGCGAAGATCAGGTGTTGAGACGCTTTCTGCATCCACCTCGGAGCTGCATACGGGCACCCATAGATGTGGATCCACACGTGGCAAATGCATGGACACTGTCTGTGGTGTAGTTTTGTTTTGTGCTGCCCTAGGCAAGACTAAAAATCACCCTTCCCCCAAAATCTATCCACCCCTTCAGGACAGGTCGGGGGCAGCATGATAGGAGTGGTTGTCCAGAAGAGTTTCCTCCAGATGGTGTTAGGGTCTGGTGCCAGGAGTGGTAGCTGTGCCTGTGTCCCATCTCCACCAGGATCTCTGGTGACAGCTGCAGCAAAGAACGGAGGGGTTCCTCCACCCGAACCTCGTCCTCTTCCACAGGTCCTCCACTGGCACCTCTTAGCCTCACCCACCCCACACTGCAGATGCTAACCAATGCCTACCTGTCAGCAGGCCCTGGACACTCCCTGCGCACACCAGTGATCCACCCACCACTCTGTCCTCCTCTACAGCCAGTACCCTTGTGTGTCGTGGGCGCCCCCCATCCCCGATGGCAGCCCTGCCGCTCACACACCCCCACACGTCCCTTTCTCCTGGGAGCAGCGCCACGCCATGTAAAATGCAGCCCAACGCAAATGCCTTGTTTGCCTCTCGGAAAGTACATCCCTGGACACTATCAAAGGTTCAAATTTGACGCAAAGGCAGGTGCACAGATGCAAACAGTTTTGCAAAATTATTTTGATATTCTCAAGGTCCCAAGAACCAGCTTCAAAATCAGGGACACCTAACATGGTATACACATGTTGTAACACCATAGTCCTGGACAGCACCAGAACTTGCCTGCCTGCACTCACCTCTGCAGCCGACACTTTCCGAGTCACTTCATCCACCACGAAGCGCTCCATGCCTCGGCCAGCAGTGCAGAAGAATCTCACAGACTCCGCCGTCACAGGGGGCGCCTCAGCTGTCATCACTACCTCGTCCACTATATACCAGCTGACAACTCTGCACGAGGGTCACAAACCAACACAACGCAAATAGCTGAGAGATCCCAGCAAGTAGTACGTAAAGACATCCGTAAGGTCATCGTCACGTGACTATACCAGCTGACCAGGGAAGAGGCGGGGCTACAAGTGTATGGTTTTCCTGAAGATTCGCAGGCATGCATGGTGCGTCTGCCTTGCAGAACTCAAAGAGGAAGATCGAGAACGGAAAACGTTTGGAACGGCATCCACACGTGTAATTACCTGCAGCTTACTGCAATGTTGCGAACCTGCAGTGGGTCTTCTTCTGTACAGCTTATCCCTTCAACATTTTTATGTTTGGAAGTTCACTTATTTAACCTCTTTGAAGCTAGAATAGAAAACCTGAAGTCTGTAGCACATTCCCAAACGCTGTGCTTTATGTATAGCACACCTCTGAACTCAGCTCTTTCCTGAACCCTGCAGTTTATGCATAGCAAACTCTTGAAGTCTGCATTCTGTACATAGCAAACTCCTGAAATCTACACTATGCATAGCAAACTCCTGAGTATTGCACGCAGCATAGGAAACTCCCGAACCCTACACTCTGTGCATAGCAAACTCCCGAACCCTACACTCTGTGCATAGCAAACTCCCGAACCCTACACTCTGTGCATAGCAAACTCCCGAACCCTACACTCTGTGCATAGCAAACTCCTGAAGTCTGCACTCTGTACATAGCAAACTCCCGAACCCTACACTCTGTGCATAGCAAACTCCTGAAGTCTGCACTCTGTACATAGCAAACTCCTGAAATCTACACTCTGCATAGCAAACTCCTGAGCATTGCACGCTGCATAGCAAACTCCCGAACCCTACACTCTGTGCATAGCAAACCCGAACCCTACACTCTGTGCATAGCAAACTCCCGAACCCTACACTCTGTGCATAGCAAACTCCCGAACCCTACACTCTGTGCATAGGAAACTCCCGAACCCTACACTCTGTGCATAGGAAACTCCCGAACCCTACACTCTGTGCATAGGAAACTCCCGAACCCTACACTCTGTGCATAGGAAACTCCCGAACCCTACACTCTGTGCATAGCAAACTCCCGAACCCTACACTCTGTGCATAGCAAACTCCCGAACCCTACACTCTGTGCATAGCAAACTCCCGAACCCTACACTCTGTGCATAGCAAACTCCCGAACCCTACACTCTGTACATAGCAAACTCCCGAACCCTACACTCTGTGCATAGCAAACTCCCGAACCCTACACTCTGTGCATAGGAAACTCCCGAACCCTACACTCTGTGCATAGCAAACTCCCGAACCCTACACTCTGTACATAGCAAACTCCCGAACCCTACACTCTGTGCATAGGAAACTCCCGAACCCTACACTCTGTGCATAGGAAACTCCTGAAGTCTGCACTCTGTACATAGCAAACTCCTGAAGTCTGCACTCTGTACATAGCAAACTCCTGAAATCTACACTCTGCATAGCAAACTCCTGAGAATTGCACACTCCCGAACCCTACACTCTGTGCATAGCAAACTCCCGAACCCTACACTCTGTGCATAGCAAACTCCCGAACCCTACACTCTGTGCATAGCAAACTCCCGAACCCTACACTCTGTGCATAGCAAACTCCTAAAATCTATACTCTGTGCATAGGAAACTCCTGAAATCTACACTCTGCATAGCAAACTCCTGAGCATTGCACGCTGCATAGCAAACACCCAAACCCTACACTCTGTGCATAGCGAACTCCTGAAGTCTGCACTCTGTACATAGCAAACTCCTGAAACCTACACTCAGTGCATAGAAAACTGAACCCTACACTCAGTGCATAGAAAACTGAACCCTACACTTTTGTGCATAGAAAACTCCTGACCCTACACTCAGTGCACAGAAAACTCCTGAACCCTACACTCTACATAGCTAACTCCTGAACCATACACGCTACATTGCAAACGCCTTAACCCTACTGTCACGTCTACCCCGAATTTGATAGGTACCCGCTCCCACTTCCGGTCTGATCGCCTAAGTGATCGGAAACGGAAGGTGTCCTCCCTCCCTCCCTGTAGTCTTTTGGGACACGTGACAGGTCCCAGAAGACTACAGGACCATTCTTGAAGCACTGCACTACTCGTGCATGCGCAGTGGGTACCCGGTTGTGAAGCCGCAAGCTACACAGTCAGGTGCCCACACTGAAGATGCCGGCCTCCTGGAATACAGGACGGCTGGTGAAATGGGCTGTGAGACACACAACGAGGGACAGGTAAGTAACTGTTTTTTAAAAGTCAGCAGCTACAGTTTTTGTAGCTGCTTTAATTTTTTGATAGGGTGAGTGGAACTCCGCTTTAACAACACAAACCACCACATTTGTTTTTAAACTGCTGGGTACAGAAATGCTCCTCATCAATTACATATCCGACCCCATTTCTCTGTTTAAATGCATGTAAAAAAAAACTCCAAAATTCCATACTAAGAAGCTCAGTGCCCTTGTGTGATGGATGCAGACCATCTCTTTTGTACAGCTCAATGTCATACCACCTGCTTGTATCAAGACTAAGATAATGACAACCTTCAGCTTTGCACCAATTCTTTAACCACTTGCCGCCCAGCCACCGCATATAAACGGTGGCAGGGCGGCGCTCATAGGCAAAAGCACATTTTAAAACGGCTGCCTTCAAAACAGGTAGGGGGCGCGCGCCCTCCCTACCTGTCCCGCGGGTGTCAGCAGCGGGTCTCCGCCACCGAGTCATGGCCGGTTTTTACCGGCCGTTTTCCCGCGATGAGCGGTGATCACTGACAGAGCAGGGATGCATTGTTTACACACAGCCCTGCTCTGTGACAGTTCGCCAACAAGCTGAAGAGGGAGAGAAGAGTTTCTCTCCCAAGATCAGCTCCCCCCCCTCCCTCCCCCCGTCCAGTACACACCCCCGCCCCCTAGTAAAACACTCCCCTTACACAGTAAATTCTAAAAATGTTACCCCTTCCTCCCCAGTGACATTAGTACAGTTTCAGTGTTTTTTTTTCACTGATCACTGTATTGGTGTCACTGGGGATGTCAGTGACCCCAAGTCAGTTCCCCCCCCCCCCCCAGTGTCAAAATGTCCGCCGCAGTCCCGCCATAAGTCGCTGGTCGCCGCCATATGTCGCTGATCTGCGCCATTATTAGTATAAATAAAAAAATCCCAGTATCTTTCCCGCCATTTGTAAACGCTATAACTTTCATGTAAACCAATTAATTTACACGTATTGGTTTTTTTTTTAGCAAAGACATGTCGCAGAATGCATTTTGGCAGAAATTTATGACTAAATTTGATTTTTGCATTTTTTTTTTACAGGACATGTTTTATAGCAAAAAGTCCAAAATATTGTTTTTTTTTCCCTCAAAATTGTCAGCCTTTTTTTTATAGCGCAAAAAATAAAAACCGCACAGGCGATCAAATAACACCGAAAAAAAGCTCAATTTATGGGGAAAAAAAGGATGTAAATTTCATTTATGTACCGTATTGCATGACCGCACAATTGTCCGTTAAACTAGCGCAGCACTGTATAGCAGAAAAATGGCGTAAATTGCAGTATTTATACCATAGATTGTAGATGCTATAACTTTCACACAAAGCAATCAATATACACTTATTGGGATTTTTTTACCCAAAAACATGTAGCAGAATACATTTTGGCCTAAATTTATAACCAACTTTGAGTTTACTATATATTTTTTTATAGCTGAAAGTAAAAAATATTGTTTTTCTTCAAAATTTTTGGCTTTTTTTTTTTATAGCGTGAAAAATAAAAAGCACACAGGTGATCAAATTACACCGAAAGAAAGCTCTATTTGTGTGAAAAAAAGGACGTAAATTTCGTTTGGGTGCAGCATTGCATGACCGCGCAATTATCAGTTGAATTAGTGCAGCGCTGAGTAGCAAAAAGAGGCCTGGTCATTAAGGGGGGTAAATCCTCAGAAGCTCAAGTGGTTAACCAAGTATTGAACTCTGCTATACATAGTACTTTTTCTTGTCCATTTTGGACAGGTAAGATGTCTGAAAATGTAAGAGTAAACCCTAGCTGTCGAAGATCTTGGCCCAAATTCTGAAAATTCTTCTGTACAGAACGCACATCATTTTAGGATAAATCATTTGTGCCTGTGTGCACAACAACATCTACATTGCACTCTTCACTAGTTTTCATGTCAATTTTTAAAATGCGCATTTTATCTCCTAACAGTAGCACCAGGCAAACTTCCTTTGACACTTCCACATGACTACCTAAATAAACCCCTCTTAGAATTGAATTGCCAGCAAGAAGATTACCTCTCCTTTTAAGAGCCTTATCCCCAACACTTGACTGGTTTACAACCTTGTATACAACAGTTACTTTTGGCAAACAAATAAATAAATGGTGTAGCGCTAATCTATAATATAAATATAAACCATATGAATAAAAACATAAACATACATAAAAATATATACAGGTGAAACTCGAAAAATTAGAATATCGTGCAAAAGTTCATTTATTTCAGTAATGCAACTTAAAAGGTGAAACTAATATATGAGATAGACTTATTACATGCAAAGCAAGATAGATTTAGCTGTGATTTGTCATAATTGTGATGATTATGGCTTACAGCTCATGAAAACCCCAAATCCACAATCTCAAAAAATTAGAATATTACATGCAATCAATAAAACAAGGATTGTACATAGAACAATATCGGACCTCTGAAAAGTATAAGCATGCATATGTACTCAGTACTTGGTTTGGGCCCCTTTTGCAGCAATTACTGCCTCAATGCGGCGTGGCATGGAAGCTATCAGCCTGTGGCACTGCTGAGGTGTTATGGAAGACCAGGATGCTTCAATAGCGGCCTTCAGCTCTTCTGCATTGTTCGGTCTCATGTCTCATCTTTCTCTTGGCAATGCCCCATAGATTCTCTATGGGTTTCAGGTCAGGCGAGTGTGCTGGCCAATCAAGCACAGTAATCCCACAGT